CCGTTAAAGCCTAACGGTTTGGCGTTTAACTTATATTTCTATATTATCCTTTTCTCCAATTTGGCTATAATAGGACCTATCAATGCCACATCATACTTCATATGAATATCTTTCTATATAAATATTTTACCAATTTTTTTTTCAATTATTAGCCATATTTATATATCTCTTTTTATTAACTTTTTAGTTGAATCAATGAAAGAGATATTTTTTAAAACTATGATAAGTAATTAAGTAAATTTAATTCTTTTAAAAAAAATAGATAAAATTTTTTGAATTTTATTAAGATTTAAAAAAATTATATCTATAAAAGAAAATTTCTAAATGCTTATTATTATTCCTTTAATTATAAACTTTAGGTGGTCTAAAGTAAGTTCACAATTTGTAATTTTATTCATGTAAATAAGTGAGTTAAGCAAGTACATGAGTTAAGTATTTGTCTATATTTGTATTTAATTTAAAAATTAATAGATATAAAATTTTAATACTCAATATTTATTTAGGTATTAAAAGTTTATTCTTATTATTCAACCCATTGAATATAAGTATACTTACAAATATACTTATATATTTATTGAATAATTTAACCTGTTAATACAAATTAAAATATAATTAAACCTATTGCAAAACATATACCTTAGTTTATACATACTATATAAATATAAACTTCCTTGAATGCACTAATTTGATGTGAGAGGTGTGCCCTTAAAATAACCCTTATTAAGATTAGGGAAAATGATGTGTGCACACCCAAATCCATCACCCAGGTGTAGACGCCCCCCATAAAAAAAAAAAAAAAAAGGATCCAAGTGCATGCCATTTTTTTTTTATGTGGGGGATGCACACCCAGGTGTTAGATCAGGGTGTGCACCAATCATGATCCTAAGATTGGTCTTGAGATATAAGAGAGCTAGTATGAAAATATCTTAATTATAAATATCAAAAAAATAATATGTATACAGAAAAATATATGACTTTATATTTATAATAAAGTACATAATTAAGTTAGAATACAAACACAAAAAGTGGTAAAAGGTACTAATTAATGATGTAGTGCTTTATTTTATATATGTCAATTTTTATTTATTTATTTTAGGATACAAATATTTTTGAATTTGTCTTAAAACAATATTTTTTTTATAATTTAAGAAAGAAAAAAATATTTTTTAAGGACTATTTTAAAGGTATACCTCTCACATTGAACTAATGCATTTAAAAAAAATTTATGTTTGTTTATTATATATGAACTAAAGTATATGTTTTGCAATATATTTAAATATATTTTAATTTGTATTAAAAGGTTATAATATTTAATAAATATATAAGTATAACTGTAAGTATACATGTACTTAATAAGTTGAATAATAAGAATAGACTTTTAATACTTAAATAAATAGTGAGTATTAAAATTTTATATTTATTAATTTTCAATTTAAATAGAAATATAGACAAATGCTTCACCCATGTACTTACTTAGCTCATTTATACACATAAATAGAATCACAAATTATGAGTTCACTTTATATCACACAAAACTTACAGTTAAAGAATATTAGTAGGCATTATGAATTTTTTTTTCTAATTATAATTTTTTTGAATCTTAATAAAATTCAAAATTTTTTATCTCTTTCCTTTTAAAAAATTAAATTTACTTGATTACCTACATAGTTTTGAAAAATATCCCTTTAATTAACTCAACTAAAAAGTTAATAAAAAGAGAGAAATAAACATGGCCAATAATTGGAAAAAAAAAAAAGGTTGGTAAAATATTTATGTAGAAAGATATTAACATGAAGTATGATGTGGCATTGGTGGGCCCTATTGTAGCCAAATTGCAGAAAAGAATAATATAAAAATATATATTAAATGCCAAACCGTTAGGCTTTAACGGTAAAATGTGACAGTGTTAGCTAGCAATGGATGGAGGGACGAAATTGAACACCTTTTGAATACTAGATGGAGGACATGCGAATTCAAAATGAAGTAGAGGGACGACTTGAGGTGATTACATAGTGGGAGGGTTAAATTGAACTTTTTCACAAAGTAGAGGGATGATAATTGGCTTTAACCCAGAAAATATATTAATTGTTTTAATTTTTAAATATAAATAAAGTAAAATTAAGAATTAAAGTAGTTGTTAAATTATTTAAAATTAAAAAAATCCACATAATCATTTTTTACATGATGGATTTTTCACCTAATATTGAAAATGTAAAATAGTCAATCATTTAGCAAAAAAATTAGCTACATTAGCACTTAATTGACAGAAATACGAAATTGGTGCTAAAAATTGAGGTTGAAGGATGTTTTTAGTACTTTTTGAAGTTTAAGGATGGATTGGTTCAAAAATAAAAGTTGAGGAACCAATTCAAGTATTTAACCTAAAAAAATACATTAGCCACATCAGCATCATTACCCAATTAATCCTTAAATAGAAAAAAATTGAAAATTGACATATTTAAATAGAAAAAATTTGAAAGTTGACATCCTTATTTAGAAAAAGTTGAAAGTTGATATTCTCATTTAAAAATTGACAAAGTTAACATACTTAAATAAAAACTCATTTGGAAATCGACAAAATTAACATCCTTAAATAAAAAAAATATAAAATTGATATCCTTATTTATACCTTTACTCATGTCCATGGTGTAAAATATTTAGATGGTGTTTGGTTAGTGAGTGATTTTTATTAAAAAAGTTTTTATTAGAAAAATAGTTGAGAAAATATAATATGAAAAATTGATAAATATATTGTTTAAAAAGTTGATAAATTTTGTACATAAATTTTGTTAAATTATTTTTTTTTTGTATTTAATAAAAATTAGTATAAATAAAATTGATAAAAAAAATTATCAAGTAGGTTGTATATAAAGAAAATTAGAGACAAACTTTTTTTTAAAGGTATGTTAAGAAAAGTTTGTAAATTAAAAGTTGTGTTAAGAAAAATAAAAAATAAAAATATTACTTTTATCTCTCTTTTTTTTCAGTATTAATGTATAAAAATTATAAATAATCTTATAAAAAAATTTAAAAATATTGAAAGGGAAAAGTTGCTCGGTAACCAAAAACCTCCCTGTCTTTGGCCAGTTCCATCCATGACGTGTATAATGAAATCTTGGCCAGTTCCATCCATGACGTGTATAATGAAATCTTGAATTAATCTTCAGGCATGTTTGGTGTGCTCCTTTCTAAAAAAAAGGGAATTTGAGGCCAAGAACTTAATTAAATTAATGCAATTTCTTGTCCGTCTAAATAAAAATTTTTGAATTTGAATTAATGAAATATTGACTTCATCTTTCTGTCTACTTCTATATTGGTTGTTAATAAGGGATGACTTGGCGCTGACCTGGACAAAAACAATGTTAAATATAAATTAGTAATTTTAATTATTTATTA